CTCAAGGATCTTGGAAATTCATGTTGGAAACATTGACAAGGAGTCACCCTTTCAAGTTCACAGTGAAACGCATCACCGGGGCTAGCTTGTGCATCGTTGATGGCAAGCTGGTGTTGATGTCCTGGATCTCGCAATCCTGAGATACGCCAATGACTTGAGACATCGATTAAACATTGAGTCACCACAGCTGAATCAATCAACTTTCTCCAGCCGCAATGCAATCTGATCTTTAAGTTTGGTTGAGATGCTTCCTCCAGCCATGGCAAATCTTGGACACTGCTTGGGCGAGTGTCATCATGACAAAGACTCACCTGGGCTAGGATGGGTTCATGGGAAAGGGATGGAACATGATGGAACAATTTGGGTCTGAGTAACTCTTGCACCACTTGTAAGTTTGCAACATGAACTTTAAACCTTCTGCAACACAAGTCCGGGTGACTAAAAAAGTCACGCTCCTGGCAGAACTCTCGCAAGGAGCTCTTGCCAGGATGAGTTTGGCTAGCGCAAGGTAGTCCACCTTCTTGGCTTTCTTCACCGGGACCAATGGTCGGGGATCTTTGGGGATGGCCCCCAACAAGCGATTGTAGCGGAACGGCCAGCAAAGTAACGCCTCCTCCAACCAAACCGATGGGTACAAACAGAAGATACCAATCTTTAACAGAACATGTTCACAAGGCCTAATAACCATCGAAATCCCAAATCCCAATCCTGATGCAAAAACTGGTCCGATGCATATCTCTTAAGAAGCATGACGACGTCACAAGGATGGCTCTGGAGCCCTGCAGCCCTGCCCTCCGCGATGATTGGCATATTTCTTGGAAGATCTTCAGGGTCCAAGCAAAAGTGCGGTAGTTATCAGTAGGTCACTAAATACTTCTACGTCAGGTTCCTGTCCCAAACCTGAGGCAACATTGAAGCCTCTAAACATGATAGCTTTCCCAACTACTGAACCGAACCTTGACGCTTCAGCATGATATAGGCGTGTAGGGCTGATGAATCTTCTTTGAATCCTCCTGCATAGCTGCAGGGGGCCGAGCTCAACCAGTCTTTCCATGGCCTTATACCATCCAAGTACTCAACTCTGACTTGGCAATGCGGCCCGATCCACTCTTTGATCCCGATCTTTCCAATGATCCACTGCAATTTCCTCAAGTACGGCAACGATCTGACACACTTTGCAACAGCGGCACCGTTCCACCAAACACTGTGGAATGGTCAAAGCAAGTCAGAAGTCTTTAATTAGTTGTCAAGCCTCTCCACCAGGTCGGCCCCATCACACACTATATCTATGTACTTGAACGCGGTGGCGATCAAGCCGAAGAGTTGATCTCAGCTCAGCTCAACTGAAAATGCCACAGACTTGCAAGAATGCGGGCAAATCCTTAACCAAGCACCTCGTTCAACCCAATGCCTTGTATTGTGCAATGACAGTTCTTTGCATTCAAATCAAGGTGCCGAGCGATCCGTGCGTGTGTCCCACGCGCCCGAATAACAGGGCGGCTAACCGGCAGTGGTTGCTCCCGACCAGGTGGCTTGCCAGCTTCAGGCACCATTGGTTCTTGGTTTCCCTGACGCAATTGTCAGCCTTAAATGGCATTTAAGAGAACAGCCCGGTCAAGATTCAAGAAAACCAATTACCCGGTGTCAACTGCAATTCGCAAGACTGAATGAATCATCAAACGAAAATGCTCCGAAGCAAAGTCATGTTTCCCAAAGCAGAATTTCCCTGGGGCGTGGAACACCCTTCTCTTTGCAAGCATCCATGGCATATTGAATGCCCCTGAGAGTCGTCTCCATCACCATGCTGGCGTCGGACTGGCAGCGAGGGCTGATCACGAACAGGCAGAGGACCATGTTGTGGATCCTCATTGTATTAAATAGCAAGCTCCAATTCCCAGGCACAAGAGCAACACATTATTCGCATGGTGACAAATGACAAACACTTCATCGCTGTCATCCCTTCATTAATTCACATCCCAAAGTCCAGGTCCCCTGAATCTTGAATTTGGGCTTCTGCAAAGGCATCTCTGCCTTTGTCTGCACCAAATGCCGGTTCCGGGGAATCGACCATTTTGCCTGGTCCATCCCGTCCTCAACTCTCAACAAATTCACAATGTCTGGGCTGGCAAACTTATTTGACAAAATCCATGAGTCCTGAACTAAACCTGAAATGCCGTCTAGGCTCCACATGGACGCAAAGTGCATCTCCGATGTGGCTCAGGGGGTCTTGGGCCTTCCAGGTGTCCCACTGGCAGGAATACTACACAGGGAACATGACTGCATCTCAACCCTTGCATTTCCATATTCTCAATCAGAAATCGCCTGGAGGAACTCCTCCAAGCTTCTGTCTTCCCCTACCTGGTCCACATGTTTTTTGTATGCCTTTGAAATATCGAATCGCCTTTGCATATCCTTTGCCTGAGTGACATAAGCGTCAAGGTGATACTAACTGCACACAGTGCAAAACGATTCAACACAGGGCAAGATTGTGAAATGAAAACTATTGAGTCAGAGTGCTGGGGTGCACCGGAACTGCTCTTTGAAGTCGCAGCACTCGTCACAACTCCCGTGCGTGCTTGGTGATAAGAACTTGAGTATTGGCCGCCAAATGGTGTCATATGTTCTCCAGAAGTGAGCATACCTTGGCAAGGTGGCTGTGAACATGCATTTATCAAATAGGCAACTTCTGGACATGTGGTGCGTTTGCTGTGGCATGCTGCAACATTGTGCAATTGAGGCACGACACCCCCTCTCGGCCCCACTGCTGAAACAGCATTTTTACGTTCCCTGGTGGGAGAAAGCGACATGGTAATGATGATACAGTCTTGGAGAATCCAGTTTCGATCGCCCTGGGTTTCTACGAAAGAACAGGCAAGTCAAAGCAACAATGCTTTCATCATTCATGACACAGTCAACACAGCCAACTGATTTTTCATGGCGAGTGGCTCAGTGTAGAATGAATTGACACCCAGCAGGTGCATCCGTAATTCTTCATCGCTCTCAAGACTCTCTGCTTTGACAACCAAAGCTGTGTCATCATCCCGTCCAGAAGAATCTGAGCTACCTTGGGACCGAGCAGCTTCGACCAACCCCCAAACATTCAGTAGTTTTCAGTCCTTGATCAATTCAATCAACCTGTCCGAGAAGCATTCATCCTCAGGCAAACAAGCAGATGCCTCAAGCACGACGGTGAGCCTTTCTGCGTGCATCTTCCTCGGGCGTCCAGATCTTTTAAACCTCAGTGAGTCAAATCAACAACCCTGTCAAACCACCGCACAAGTTTGAACCCTTTTACAAAAAGGTTGCAATGGATTCAGGAGTCAGACATCACAAGGTTTGTTGACAATTGATTTGCAAGGTACTTATCTGGCAACATTCCTGCGCTCTTCATGTAGACGGACAGGAGGAACTGGTTGATGAGCCGTGTTTTTACTGGTGATCTCCTCTTTGATGCCTAAAGGCATCAGACTTCCAAGATCTTCCAAGGATGACAATGTGCTTTAGCCCAGCAACAAGCAAGCAAACAAACAACACTTCAACATCCGTCTTGTCAAGCTGCTCCCCAAACACCAAATCGACGATCAAATTTGCCCTGCAGAACTCTCCCCACTCTGGCATTCCCAATGCCCAAGATTGCGATGCAACACTTTGGTCCAAAGAGTTGGCCGAGCAAGTGCCAGCTTTTGCGGGTCCCTGTGTGGCTGCCTATCACGCTCCTAATGTACTCGTCTTGAACATGCTTGGCCATGGACCAAAACAATCTCAAAAATTGGAGAAGCATATTCCATATGGCTTTCAGCTTTCGGAAACAACTTCGCCTGTGGCACCGGCATGGTTCTCGGGTGCTCAAGTACTCCAACCTTGCACTGTCAGAGCCATGTTGACCAAACCTTGGCTGCATGAGGAAGCACTACAGGGCAGATGGTGCCAGGAACCTGACAGAAAGCCACAACAAGTTGAACAAAAGGTGCATCCTTGGCCAAGTCTAGTTACGGAACACGGTCTTGTAGCTTCGCAAGGTGTTTTCTCATGGCGCCATTGTAGTTTGGGCGTTTCCTCAACTTGCCTCTAGATTCGTCGGCGGGTCTGCCCATCGAAACTGCCTGACATGTATTCTTGAAATCGAGCAAGCCCTCCATAGTGAAATCCACTGCAACTCGCCTCTTTGATTGGTCCTGTTCAAGATCTGGATCCTTCTGAGAAGGATCAGAAGGTACTATCTGTCCCTCACCTCCCAAAATCGATATGAACTTCTTCCGCTTGGAAGATTCAGCTGGGATTGCATTGGATGAGGGCCTGCTCTTTGCACTAGGGGTTGGCAAAGAAGAAGCTATCTGCTCTGGACTTGAAGTGGCCAAGCATCTGATGAACTTCAATCGCTTCTGGGCATTCCCAACGTCGGAAGATGGCATGGCTGTTCCAATGCCAATGGATTGGTTAACCTTCTATAAAATAACATAGTCTCTCAATCCGGTTTGGATACTAACTGCATGACTAATCGACTAATTTATGCAATGGTTGGAAATGGAATCCAGTGAATTCTATGACACATGACAAACTAGAAGCACAATCTTCACAGAAACGCCTTGAAAAAGGGCCATGGGCAGGAGAAAGTGTTGATTTGCAATTGGCAACAGCTTCAGTTCAGTCAAAACAGCCCTTGGGAATCAGACCCTCAGAGACTTGGAGGATGATGCCACCATACATGGCCCTGAAGTGTTTCAGATTTTATTTCAGAACGGTTGTGCACACCACAAGGTCCCCTGCCTGCATCCAGCCGTTGACCGCAGCGGATCAAAAGAAAGCGGCAGGGATCAAAACAAAGCTGCAGCGGGGTGGGCAATTAGTCTTGACAAAGCCATACGAGACCCAAATGCTGTGAGATGTCACCTGAATACAACGAAAACTACTTACATGTAAGACAAACAACGAAAAACATATCGAGCCGTGCATCACGGGCAATTTGTATGACCTGAATGCCCCCATTGAGCAAACGCCAGGTCACGGATTTGGAGGAGGAGATTGAAGAGGCTCTACGTCAAAGCATTGCCATGACCAGGCGCGAGGACCATTGTGGAGCCCTTTTTTATTTCTTGGCACAGACATGGCATGGCCAGAGAGGGCTTTGAGATTCAAGGTCGTGCTACTTTTTGGTTCGAAGCACTGTATGATGTTGAAGTTGTTGTTTATCGGATTAAAAGCCAGTGGGGAAGACTTGTCGAGATGAGTTTCGAAAAGATTGAACTGATTCCCACTGAACAAGGATTTGGCAAGCTCCATGAGTATGTCTTGGGTTTGTCCAGTTGCCTGTAACAGTCAGTCAACAATCATCACTATTTTTGGGCAAAGGCCTGCAACTCCCCATCATCATCCACTGGGCCCAGGATAGACAGACCCCAAGTATGTCCACAAGTGTTTAAGGCCATTCGTTTTGGGGTCCTTCGCATCCCAGCGGACCACCCGTGCCACCGTCCGCCGTGCCATGCCACCGTCCGCCTCCTCCAGGGAGCGGTCCGAGCGCAGTGGTGCTCAGCTGGAGGCTCGACGCCTGGATTGGGACGATGGGCTGACGGAGGCGCGGGAGATACGGAACGACGGACGCGTGAGAGACTCACGGTTTTTTCGGCGATGTAAGTCACGCGTTAGCTAAGTGATTCACGAAAAAAGACCGTTCAATTCCTTCGATCGATCGAAGATCTCTACCGAAGATGCCCTTGAAACGACTCGCCCCCCAGGCCCTCGATCGTCTCGAGTCGACCGAGCCTCGGCTGCTGCTGGGCGCGGAGCTGCTTTGGGCGGACGACGCTGTGGACGTGCTCCTGGAGGCTGTCGAGGTGCCGGACACGAGGGCACCAGGGTGGTGCAGACCAAGGTGTTTTTTTGAGGCAATGGGTGTTTTGGGAATTTGTGGGGGGCCAAGAGAGTCAAATCGTCACAAAAAGGTGGTAGTGTACACTACTATACTGTATATAAACCATATACCATGGGTGCATCATGCAAGGGCCCCCACAAGCACTTGTGGGCAAGCGTGATGCCTGCTTTGGCCTGGAACCTTGACCGGAACCCATCACGACCGTGTCAGAAAGCAATCCACCGTGGCTGGGTCTTCATCTATGGTGCGGCAGACCGACCGTCCAATGTGCCCTGGCCCGGCGGATGGAAAGACTGGTTTTTGAACGAGTTATTTAGAGAAGCAGAGCTGGGTTTCCTCCAATTGCTTGATAGCTGGGCAGAAGTTTGCAATTGTTGGCAATGTGGTGGTTGATGTCAGAATATGTCAGATGACTTGGATGAGTGTGAGGAACTCAGCCACTGAGATGCCCCGATGCTAAGGAGTCCTTCATCCGACGGCTTCAGCAGGCCGAAGGCACCAGCCTCACGCTGCACCGCTGTGCGGTGGAGACGCGCGGCTCCGACGGAGAAGCGGAATCGCACGAGGACACCACGGTGCTCGTGTGGGAAAAAAATAACGCGGAGTGTGCGTGGTGATGCGTGGTGCGGTGGGAGAGGATTCAAGGATGATGTGGCCAGTGGACATTTGTGGTTTGCAAATTGAGAGAAGATCAAGGAATAGTGAAAGGGATGAGGCGTGGACAAATAAAGTATACAATCACATACAATCACATAATAGTTCTATATATCTACTGCAGCATCTTCAATTCAAAGGAGAAGAGTGTTGTCCCATTTGTGTGTCACGAGTTTTGTCAGCCAAAGCTACCAACCTTTTCTGACATGGCACCAGCGCAACTCTTCCCGGGTTCAACTGCCTCACGTTCCTTTCCCTCATGTTCCGGTCATAGAATAGAGTGAGCCATCATCCGCCCCTACCGGACGTTTGTCCAACCTCATCGATGTTTTATGCCACTGGCTTGTCTTGGCTTGTACTATCTGCGTAACAACTGGGCCCTTTCAGGATGTGTTTGGACGGTCTGAGGCAAGCTGGGCTTGTTCTTCGGTTGGCTGGTGGGCCGCATCGTGGTTTTTTTGCTGGCCTTGATCTCAACGAGGCACCGAACTGGCGGCGATCAGAAGCGGCTTCGGCGTTTCCGTCTGTGGTACTAGCAGTGTTGAAGGTCGGGGCTTCCATTTTCCATGGCCTAAGTAGAGGTCGCACTTGGCAACCCGTTTCCCTACCAATTCCTTTTTTGAGCAGGCCGCATCAAGGCTTTGATATATCGTCTTGAAGGCTTTTGGCTTGTGTTTCACTGTAGGGCAGATATATTGGATGCCCCCGGCAAAGGAAAGCAACTGCTGCCGCAGGCCTTACTGATTCATACTAGTAGACGCAGGAATGGAAGGCATTACTTTTCTCAAAATGCTTGGTGGTCAGGTTCAACTGTTTAGACATGTTTAGACATGTTTATATAGACATGTAGGTGACCAGGGCTTCTGGTTGTCAACAAGAACTGGACTTCTAGGTCGATCCCTGAAGAAGGATCCTTCGAATTTCATTTTGCACGTCGCAACCAAATGGAAGAACGTCGCACATAACATGACCTTCCTGACCGAACTCGAGATTCCCAAGTCCTGCAAGAGGTCACTTGATCCTGTACGTCGACGTCACTCTGTACGTCGAGACTCCCCAACACACCTCAGCTGCCCAAACCGCTCCTCTTCCGGACGAAGGACATCGACTCGTCGACTGTCCTTCGTCCTCCCTTCCCTTGGGTCACACCGCGGTGCCCACGACGTCTCCAGGTTAGGCACGCCGATCCCCATGGACTCCGAGATCATGCAGGCACCGCGGGAGCGGGATCGCGGGGGTGAGGGTCGTAAGCTGATCCGAAGCATTCCAACTTGGATGTTGATCGGTTTGGTTCCAGTAGAAATGGAATAATATGGCACGATACACCTGATCATAGTGTTCTGTAGCCATTCAGAGTCACTTTGCTTCCCCAAGAAACCATGCGAGGTCAAGTTCCTCAACTGATAGGGAGGCAAACTCTAAGAACTCAATCGGATACCTCTCATTGACCTCCGCAAAGACCTGCCGAAAGCTTTCAGAGTCGGATCATTTTTTGTTGGGTATCATCTCCAAGCATGAGTCTCTGGCTTTTGAACCTTTGGTCGGTGACACTTTGCCAGGGGAGACTGACAACCCTTCGTTTTCGACTCCACTGTTTTTTTCTTCGTCGGGCCCACCTGGCCACAACCTTCGTGTCCTCCATCCTTCCCGCGGAAACAACCACTCGCGGCGGAGAAAAAAGATGAAAAACTCACCATCCTCATCCTCCGTCCGAACAAGAAACAGGTCCTCCTGACCAGCAAAAATGAGGATGAGGATGAGGATGAGGAGGGGGGCGCCGTCCCTAGCTACCTTCCCTTCCCTTCCGCAGCCCCTCCCGATCCACCGATCCCGTCGCGCCCCGCCCTCCGTCGATCCATGGCGGCGCTGGTGTCATCCTGGCTGGAGCGCTTTGCTCATGCGCTGGAGGGCGGAGAAGAAGAGGTCCGTGGAGAAGTGTGTGCAGCAATTTACTTCGATGATCTTCGATTGTTCCCGTCTTTTCATTTTTGGCTGGTATAATTATGGTTCGTAGTATTTCGTAATAACTATACAATTTAAAAGGTTTCAGCCAGAATAATATATGTTTATAATGCCATTTAGTTGGTGGGAACGAGTCGACTCCTTCGACTCGTATCGGCGATACGAGGTGGTGCAAGTCTTTGGGGCGGAGTGCTACTGGCGCGACATCGTCGCCTTCACGTGGAACATCAAAACCATGGAAGGCCACGAGGCCATTCGCCGCTCGGCAGCTGCCGCAGCAGACTCGGTCGGTCGGTCGTTGTTTTCGTCGGTTTTCGGTGGAACGTTCGCCCGCCAAGCGGGGGCTGGGTTGAAGAACTATGCAGTTTGTAAGAAGGGAGCAGAGCTGGGAAGTGTAGCAAGTGTTGATGCAATTGTTTGTAGATTGAGGTGTGTGGTTCTGTTTGGGGCAGATCGTCGGTTTGGTTGACAGTGGTGGGACATGGGGCTTTCGGATCCTGGTGGTGTCGGTGAGGGAAGAGGGGAGGAGTCTTGCTGGGCATTCTGAGCAAACACGATGTTTAGCCAACATGTTGATCAGAGAGATCCTTCACAATCTGAGGGCAGCGAAAAGAGCTTCTCAAGATCTGTAAGTTCCAGAGAATCACCAGCATCCATCAACCACGTCTCAGCGCTTACAGACCAGACCTTGAACAGAAGCGGAGTCTTCTGGAAGATCATCTTCTACAGGCTTTGCTTCCTCCACTGAACCATATGTTTCTCAGGACAGCTTCAGCTATACATACCCTCCCTCCAATAATGAAAGCTGACCAGGACCCCCTTGTAAAGGAACATGAGTTCCACTTCCATGATTGTTTCAGGGTGTGTCACCTGCCCTTCGCCCTCGTTCACTGCCCTGCCCGGCCACTCCGCTGGACCCGGTCGAGGTGACATGGTCCGGGGCAGCGCGCCCCGAGCGCAGAACTGGGCGCTGAAGGGAGAGCCGAAGGCGCAGCACGTGCCGGCGGGTGCCGCGGGGTGGGTGAAAAAACCTTTGGATCATTGTTGGAATGCAATAGTTCTGGGTCTCTATACTAATGCCCCCTACGAAGTATAGCCTTTCGGTCTTTGACCATCGTTTTGGGCAACTCCACAGCTCCTCGGTGGAGCTCCTCCCTCTGGTTCACCAGCGAGTTCCTCAGGAGGACTCTGATGGCCGAATCGAAGCGTGGCTCACCTTCGAGACGGAGCAGTTGAATTGCGTGGGCCACGTCCGGCTGTCGCTTGGACCCGGAATGGCGCGGTGGAGTGGCGCAGAGAGACGTGGACCCATCCTGGTGAAGAGGTGAAGGCGCCTCTCTGGTACGAGTGAAGGGGAGACCAATGGAAAGAGGGGAAAGGGGGGAGAACGTTGATGCTTTATTGGAGTCCTTAAGCCGTGGTTTCTTTGTAATTAGGGAAATTGCAAAATGATCTTGTTTGGTGTGGACTTGTGATGTTTCAATGATGTCGTGCACCCCGATTGCTGATTTCGATGGTGGATTGGGGCTGGGGGCTATCCAAAACTGTCCAGTTAGCATTTGATGCACTGGACATTGGGGGTGCCGAGGACACCAGATTGCCGGAGAGGCGCGGCCAACCAAACTTGATGTTTACCCCGCGAAAGCCCTGAGGAACGAAGACGGCACCTCCTGGACTTTGACCACGATCGGAGACGAGCTGAAGCCAAGCAGAGCTGATTGGGATGTTTGAGATTACCTGAGAAGTCGTGAGAAGACCTGTTGGAAATCTGCAGAAATCCAGCACAAGAGCGTTTAAATGGTCAGAAAGGGAGCCTCATAATTCTGAATCGGTTCAACCGGCCCCAAAGTCTGAACCCCCCGTAAAGACACCAACCTCATCCAACATCCATTCCTCTCCTTCATCTGCCATGCAGAAAAAAACAACAACTTCTGGTTCAAGATCTCTCACCATGGTGGAGCCCACGGCCGAGCCGAACTCGAACTCGGCCGAGGAAGGGCTACCCCGAGCCCTGTGGGCCCAAGCGCTCCGAGGGTCGGCCCTACGGCTCCCTGCGGAACCGCGTGCCCATCAGCAGGCGGAACTGAGCAGAGGGAGGAGGAACGGGGTCTGGGGGTAGACGACGTAGGTTGGAGGCCATCGCTTCTAGGTTGGAGGCCATTGCCATTAGGTCATTAGGCTTAGTAGCAAGATGTAGCAAGAGGTAGCAAGTAAGTAGTAGCAGGAAGCTAGGAGGTGGCCCAAGCAGGCTAAGTAGGCGGCTTTGGTGTATAGACTAATCACTGATTGTTTGGCTGGAGTGATGGTAAGGGCGTTACCTAGCTGCTGTTCTCGTCATGGTTATCGTGGTTTGGCAAGACACTGAAGGTTTTCAATAAAGACATGTCACAAGTTCGGGTTCAGTTCTGCGCAGGCCGGCCTCGGGTTTAGCAGAAGCATTGCAAGTTATCAAGTCGTAAGGTTATTAACAAAGTGGACACTCCCTTTTTGGCAGGCAAAAGAAAAGCTTGATATGAGCATGTCATCACGTGAGTGGCCTTCTGCTAGGCAGCATGCGGTGAGGCCTAAAAGATGTATGTCTAAATTACCAGTATTCTTGCACTTCTCATGATATGTTAATTATACAACCATGCCTAAGGTCGGAATGGTCAGAATGATTCAAGCAACACATAGTGCTCAGCTTGGGCGAGGCAAGCGGAAGAGGCGAAGGCGGCACTGGGAGCCAAAGAGCAACCGTTTGTGGCTTGGAGCGATTCATTTAGATCAATGACCCCCATATCCGCTTCACCTTCACTCCTAGCCCCCCTCCCCCATGCTCCTCAATCTATTTGCCACCCACTCAGGTGGTCATAGTGGGTGGCAGCCAGTGTGGCTTAGCCCTGGCGGCGCGCTTGCAACGCCTCAACGTGCCGAACATCGTGCTGGACAGCAACCCTCAGCCCGGCGACAGCTGGCGGAATCGCCCCTTGCAGTCTGGTTGTGTGTGTGTCTCAACGAAGCATGCGGAAACCAGGGGAGTTTTGGGGGATGAGGATGGGTGGGCGTTTTGATGTCCCTTGGCACATCTTGGCACCTTGCTGCTGAAGTTCAATCAAGGCTTGTTGGTTTTCGCTTCCATCACTTGGTGCTGAGATTTGCTGGGTGTGGCTTTATGTGGTGCGGAGAGCCGGAGCTGGCTACATTCCAAAGCTATCGGTTCCCCAAGCCATCGGTAGCCTCGCACCGTTTGGTCACGGCTGAGGCTATGACTGCCTTCACTTGCACGATCCAGTTTTTGCCAATCACCTGCCACACCTGCCAATGCCTGACCACTGGCCTTTGTGGCCACACAAAGACCAGATGGCGGATTGGTTGGACATTTATGCAACTTCTTCTGCAAACTAAGAGTCACTGTCACAAACGAAGACATGGAGTCCTCAGACTCCGACAAAGCAAAAAAGAAGGCCATGTTTTTTCATGTTTACCAACCTGTCCTTTCCCCTGTCTTTTTCTATGGTGTCTCATATACTTTACTACACTCCTTCGAACCAACATGGGCCAACGTGGATGCCATGGCCCCTTTCGCTCGGGAAGACCATGAAGCCCGAAGGGAGATGTCCACTTCCATGTGAGATCATGTGAGTTTGGGAGGGAATCAACAGTGGAATCAACTCTTAGTCTTAGTCCTCCTCGTTCTTCGCCGATGTGCTGTCCTCTCCGGTGACCCGTGGTGACCTCCGTTTCGCCACACCACGCGACCAGCGCTAGCCGCGACCCGAGGCACGGGTGATGGAGGTGAACTTCTGGGGTCGTTCCACGTGTTTGTCCTCCACCTGGGACGCCACGCAGAAACACTGGACCGCTCCTCGACCCCGAGCGGGGACGCGAAGCGCTTCGACGCCGCCGTTGGGACGGGGAGCAGGGATGGCTCGGATGGGGAGGGGCGGATCGTCGTACGGATGGGAGGGGAGTGTGAGAGAGGTCATGAGTGGGTGGGACCTGCTCAGCAACACATGAAAAAATGTGGGTTGAGAGAGGTGTTTGAGTGAGATGCTGTGGAGGATCAAAGCTGATCAAACCCGAAATCGATTTGGGGCGTTGGAAAGTCAGTGGAACAAGTTGATTTGGCCAACACCCAAGTGGCGGGTTCTGAGGTGAAGGTGGACCGAAATGGAGAGGAAGTGACTTTGAGACCGAAGCGACTCGGCGTGGGAGTGACATACCCAGACTGTTGATATGCATGTCCTAGGCTGCCTAGGCTGTATTCATCTGCATTCCAAGAGCCATAGAGCCAAGATGCTCAGATATGTTCTTTCTTTCTGAGCAAGTACTATTTAAGTCGTGCCTTCGTTTGGAACCCTTCAGCCCGGGCCCAGAAGAAAGTCAATTCCTTGACATCGAAGCGCACGTGGCACAACATCCAAGGCATTTGGTGCTGGCCACGGGGCTCTACGGCAGCCCCTACATCCCGAAGCTTGGTGGTTTCGACAGAGGAAACGATACTTGTGGGATCCTTAGGAAAGCCTAGAGAACCAGGGCGAACTGGTCTAGTTTTGGGATGTTCTTGGTGATCTCTTGCCTTGATGAAGGATCCCCAAGTCGACTGGGAAATCAGACAAGGGTCAGGGCCACCTTTTTGAATCGTACCCACAAGGGCGGGGTGCAATGGTGCACTTCCTTGGCTGCCTTTTGGAGAAAAGCTGGGAGGATGCCCGGGCGCTGTCTCAACCTGTGGCAATAGCAGCTAGCATGGCCGGGTAACACATGGTTCACAACCATCATCCCCGAACAGAAGCCAATCCTTTGTCAGTTTGCGTGCGTAGCTTGCATTTGCATCATCCATTGCATTTGCAAGGGTGTGCATGTTTGCGTCCCCTGAGTTCGATCAGGATACATAATAATTACCTTGGAAAACAACCCATGTGGGCTAAGAAAAGGCACCCCTTTTTGCCACTGGGTCAAGAAAGAGAACAGATTCCATGAACCAAATGGGTTCATTGTTCGGCTGGGGTCTACTTATTTCCTTTGCGCACGCTCTCATCCACCCCCCATCCTCCCATCCGCATCGGCTCTCGCTGGACACAGTCAGAAGACGACGCGACGACGCAGGAATCTCAGCGGCCAAGACACCTTCCCTGGTGACGTCCTTCACTCCTCAGTGTTTGTGCCACCTGGGCGGCATGCGCGGCATCCGCATCGCTCTCCACGCGTCCACGACGTGAGACGTGGAGGGTCGCGGATCCGCCTTTGCGCTGTCGTGGAGAGTTGAGGCTGTTGATGGGGGTTCAATGGGTTTGATGGTTGGTGTGTTCTTCTTCAATCGATTGGAGAATGCTAGGAAGAGATGAAACCGACAGACGAACATAGACTATGGTGATTAACTCATTTGACTTGGTGGCTAGTGACTTGGAGAGAGGGCTTGTGAAGACTGTATGTCATATGAATTGCGATTCTATTGATTGCTTTAGGCAGTGTTTCTGCGATGCACGTGTTGATTTGTTGTACGGAATGGACATTATAGTGAGGATATATAATAGTGAGGCGTATAACACCCTGAACCAAAACGTTCGAACATGCGTTTGTTCGAACGTCGAAGACACGCGTGAACCAACACGGGATGATCTCCATGCCGCCAGCTGTCAGCGCCTCAGGAACGGGAAGAAATATCAAGGTGCTTGGGCCTTCACAGCGGGACACACTCGGTGTTGCACCGGAACAGCGTGGAGGTTGACATCAGAGAGTTTGTTTTGCGTGGAAGTGGAGAAGAAAGAACTGAGGTGTTTCAAAATTCCATGAAGATTGCGACTAAAACATTAGATGATTGGAGAGCAATTAGGAAGATCGTTCTTTTGATGGTGTTCATCCAGCTCGTAGATGGCAGATTCCTATGATGGGCACCTGCCAAGCATTGCCCAGCTGAATTCTGGGAGTTGCTTAGTCAACTCCCAAGCTAGGCTGGTGAAATCGATGGTGCTGCCCTCCTCCAAACGAACGCAGGTCTTCTTCACCAGACCCTCCGGACAAACCCACCAAGTGCATGAGAGAAGGGCATAGAAGGGCCACGTGTTTTTCGCCCCTGCCGGAGAGCAACACTGAAAACCTCCAAGGTGTTGTGGCTAATTTGGGGGAGCTCCCACGTGTGAGGTTGTTGCAAGCTCCAAGAAAACCACCTCACTTCGCCAACTTTGGGAGCTACCAGCTTTTCAGAAGGGGTTACTTTTGCCACATATGGAACGCCGGTTTCACCGCATGCTTCCACCTCCATGTGACCCTCCACCACTCCGTTTTCCGCGTGGCTCCGCGTGGCTCGAGGGAAGAAGGCGGTGGTGGTGGGCTCCAACACCTCGGCGCACGACATCGCCGAAGACCTCTGGGAGTGTGGCGCAGAGGTGACCATGGTCCAACGTGCCTGAGCGCGCCGAACCGGTCCTAGTGTGCGCGGCGACGGCGACGGCGGTCTAGATAACCTTTGCGAGGCTTATAAGTAGACAACTGGTTTTTGTTTGTGGATCCAGCGCGGCGAGCTAGGACATTCCTCATGCCGTTCCGGCACCTGCTAGGCACCTGCCACAAGTTGAAGGTTGAGCACTACCCTGCCATGTCTACAGTAATTCAAAGCATGTCATTCTCCCAAAAGCCCAGGTAGTCCGACCATGATCATCCACATCGACACGCAGCTGAAGACGGTCTTCGGCCTTCACGATGACGAGGCCAAGGCCAAAGGCATCACCACCGACGCTCGGCGACGCCACGCGGTTCCGCGATATTGCGATCGAAGGATGGCGAGGTCGGTGCTGCGAGGTCGGTGTCCCTATATGGATATGATACTCGCATGTATACAGTATATGCTGTTTGCACCTCACCCATCTGGAGTTGGGCGCTCAGTTTTATAGGGGCTTTGATCTCCAGCATTTCTGTCTTGACCCCCGAAACGAGGAGGAGGGCGACTTGATCTCCACGACCTATCCCTTCAAAGTGGTCACGGAGCTTCAGAAGAAGCGCTGCCAAGAGATTCGCGAGACGGATGCCGACTACTACAAGAAACTGGAAGCTGCAGGACCGGGTAGCTCCTCCATTTTCGTTGTGTCACGTGTGACTTTGTGCCCAACCTCATCCCGCATGTCAAACATCCTGAGATATGACATGACGTCTACTGCATGTTTCAGTCGGAACAGGATCGTCAACGAGATTGATGTGTTCTTTCAACTCACTAGCGGGACCTGTGCACCATTTCTCAGTCAGTTGGCCGTTGTCATGAACCTTAGTAAGGGAGGATAGTCGTAACATGTTGTAACAGTTGTTACAACATGCATATTCACGCACCCTTCCATCCCCCTCCACACCATGCATAGTCAGCTGCGTAGCTCGGGCTTTGAAGCCACTGGACACCTGTACACCTCTCGCTTGTTACGCTCTGAAAGTCCAGGCTTCCGGCTGGACTTCGGCGAGGATGAGACGGTCGCTCGGCCATCGGCTGGACGTGTGAAAGGGAACTTCCGCCACTTCACCCATCAAAAATTCAGAAAATGTCAGGAGATTCATGTAGAAGACTTGGCCTTGATTGGTTCTTTTGAGCTTCTCCATGTTGCTCCCTGAGCCCACAGATGTTAGCATTGATCCAACTGCAACAGCACTGTCAGTCGTTTGGTTCCTGTCCGGATCCATGTGATGATAACTTGCCACATCCGACCGAGCGCTATCCTGCAAGGCCAACATCATGATGTTCCTCCGCCGCGGCGCTGGCTACTACTTCGACACCGGCGCCTCCGATTTGATCATCCGGAAGGAGGTGAAGCTGCAGCAGGGCGACGTGAAAGGTGCGCAGATCAGATGGGTAGACCGATCGATGGGTGGGGGAGAGAGCGTGGGAGACGTGGAAGAACGCGGATTGGGTTTTAGAGAAGAGATGGATCATGATGGATTGGTTGGAAGAGATGGGAACCTGGCCATGGGGTTTTGGGTTGGTATGCAAAGATGGTGATGGCTGCACCTTCTGTGCGTTTTTCATTGTCTTCATCTCCAGCATCTTCCGGCTGGGTTACTGGTGTTGATGGCTGGGGCGAGGCGAATACGTACATGAGGTTGGCAGGCTGGCTGGTTTGTAGCCAAAGGGGTGGTATGCATGAGCTTGTGGAAGTTGTTGCGCTAGCCAAACGTTTTGTTCCACTTGGGGAAGGTTTGGTGTCATACTTATGGTGACCTCATAGTGCTTGTCCCATCCTATCGTACCCAATCCTGCAAAACATGTTTGGTGGGATTGGGGTCCAATCCAACCAATTGAACATCATTGAACAACACTTTGGCTTCACCTACATACCGCCTATACTTACTAGTCTTTTCCACACATGTTGGGCTAAAGCTAGCTCTCTATGAATAGTGCCTTCCTCCGTTTTCCACACGTGGCGCAGGGCCACCGCCGGTCAGTCCAACAGAGGCTTCACTCCCGGTGGCCGCGTGCTGCTGGGCGACGGCACGGAGCTGGAGGCGGACGTCGTGGTGCTGGGCACCGGCTACCGACCCTTGAACGACACGGTCTCCAGGCAGCCACCGGGACCGGCGACAAGACGGTGGAGTGGAGGAGAGGAGTGGGAGGACTTGGACGGATGAAGATGAGGCTGGATCCAATGGAAAAGGGGTCTTCATGGTGTCCAGGGGTGAGGTTCTGGACCCATGCACCATGACAAATGATTCCTTTCGATTGGTGTGAAGACGTTTGCAGGTGACTGGAAGATGAGGTGCGCGTTTCTCTAGTTTGCGAACTCTTCGCTTCTTCTGTGGACTGCATTTTGTGATGGAACAGTCTTAGCTACGGCGGCCACTGGAAGAGTTTGCTTTGGGTGATTTGTCACATCGCATCTTAGTGGTTGAACACGGAGCCAAGACCACTTGCACCACCACCTCACCACCTCACCACACCCTCACCATCTAATTACCTGGCCGGCCCTTTTTGTTCCGCACAGGTTCCTGGGGAAGGATGTCACCGAAAAGCTGGGCCGCGTCTGGGGCTTGGGCAGCGGCTTCGAGGGCGATCCTGGCCCTTGGGAGGGCGAGCTGCGCAACATGTGGAAGCCCACGGCGGTGGAGCATCTCTGGGTGCCTTCTGGAAAGGGATCGCGGTGCGGCGGAGCGCGGGCTTGGGCGGTAGGGCGCGAGCGCCCAGGGCGCGGCAAGGGGGGATGATCCGCAAGATCCGCCGCCGCGTGCGGCGCGGAGGACTGGGGAAGAACTCGGAAGAACTCAACGGATGGGAACGGGAAGATTTCGACCTGACAGGCAAAGTCAGTCCTTGTTCTTGGAGCCCATTGATGGGGCCAGCATGCAGTTTGAAGGCCTGTTTGGGTGAAGTGCTGCAAGGTGGCAAGATCAGCAGGCTGAAGCCTACCTGATCGATTGAACACATTCATGCACGGGAATGTCGCCGCGGCGGGGGAAGAGAACGTGCTGCTTAGGATGCTGAAGTCAAAACAATCCACACGAGAGCAAGAGAAAGAAACGGGGCTCATTCACTCTTGCCGGACTTGGCTCTAAAGGCTTGACAATATCACGAGTGTTTTTTCGGTGAACTCACATTGGGAGTTGCCGAGTGCAGGCCGCCGGGTGTTTTTCACTGCTCTACATTGTCAGATCATGTTACTGTAGATCTATGTTCGTAACTCTTCATATCATGCAAGATTCAAGATTCTTTCTATCATGCACATTGTGTTTCATCCATATAACATGATCTACTTAGGAAGAGCTAGGTCCTGTTTGATCTGCCAATGATCACCAATGGTCCTGTTTGGATTTCTGTCCCTATCCAACTCACGATCTGAAACAGATCCAAAAATCCAGGGATCGTTCCAAAGAGTTTCCTTTGTTTGACCCCGGTACCAGCATGGTTTGGAACTGGCTGTGCTCCGCCTTGGGCGTGATGAGGTGCAGGGTGGAAACCTGGGCTTCTCCAGGAACTATTCCAAATATTTGGCACTTCAACTGCAAGCACGCTTCTTGGCGCGAACATTCTACACATCAAGGTTGCGCTGCTTGCCAGGTTCAGCTTGCAAGGTTAAGACAACACCATGCCGTTTCGCTGGCAGCACTCGTGTCATCAGCGAAACCGGCTTCTGACCGGGGGCTCAAAAAGCACGCCCAGCTGGCTCGCTCGCTCTTGGCCCGGCCCTTGCAGTCTCCCACCGAGGCTTCTTGGGCCTCCCCACTCCGGTCTACGGCGCCCCTAGCGCGGCTATCGCCGGCACGTCCGGTCGAGGGCTGAACCGCGGTGGCTCGTGAGCGCCGAGAGGTGGTCCCCCTTTTGGGCCACGGTCGTGGCCAGGCAGAACTGCAATGGATGGCAAGATCTGACCAGTTCGATGTTCGTTCAGCCGGTTTCGTCGATCAAAGTAGATGAAAGTGAACATGAGTTTGGGGATGTTTCGTAGATGGAATGTTGATATTCACACTCGTCATCCACTTGAAATAAGAGCTGCGGGCACGCGGGGCATTTCACTTCTGTTTTTGTTGAGCATGCAGGGATTGGGGATGAGGATCGCCCTGGGATATCTCCATGTCGAAAAACAGGAACCGCTTCACAAGCCGCGCAGCCTTTCTTTGAGCCCTTTCTCCTATGCACCAGAGGCAATGTGGTGTGAGTTTTTTTTGGTTTTGGATAGTATAGAATATCAACTCTCATGATTTGGTGGTACTATATTGAGTGGTATTTTCACGCAGGCCTTGAACTGGTACCAGTGGATTTGGTGGATGTATAGGCTGGATGATTGCTGAATCGGTGATATTTGATGATTATGTCTCCAGATGAATAAGCTTAGAGAGAAGTTTTGTAGGGACCCTCCCGAAGAGTGTCATGTTTTGCGCCTGCAGAAAGCAAGGGTGGAATCCCAACTTGAGGTTTGACCAATCATTCTCGTACTGTGGCAACTGGTTATTCATGCCAATTGCTGGGAACAACTAGCCTCGAAAGCCTGTGGCCATCCATGACCAGTCCAGCCTTGAAAATGCAGTAGCCTGATGTTTGCCAGAAAAATCTTTGCTGGCGAATCATGCAGGGATTTAATGAGTCGGGCGTTGAGGAATGCCCTATCTTGAGCTCTTCTCAGTTTCTGACTCAAGTTGGGCAAATGCCCCAAAATCTAGGTAGGTACAGCATGCCCACCTGTGTAGCAACACGTGCCGACGATTCGTGTGATCGACTGATCGACTGGAAACACTCCTCATCCCAGATTGAAAGCAATCAATCTGAAGTGATGTTCAGGAGCTGATCTTTTGCTGGGTCATCGGATGGTCGGCTGTTTTCCCATAGTTTTGCACCGCCCACCGTGCGGATTGCGGTTGTACAGCTCTGGGGGCACAGAGGAGGAAGGAGCAGGAAGGAACAAAAAAATTGTGTTAGAGCTAGGAGAGTGCAAGCTTCTCACCTTCCAAATCAACAAATATGGAAATTCATAAAGGCCTATATTGCATTGCATGACGATCAGGGTCCTGTTTCCTAGAGGAGCACGCACTCATCCAAAGAGCCCATTGCCATCCACCTCCATGTTCCTTTTGGGTGCTCCGAAGCATCCAAGAAGACCAACAACAAAGCGCCTATAGTGCTGCTACTTTGCTTTCTCAAAGACCTTTTCCTTAATTGTCCCTGATAAGGTCGACCTCATCGTGTTTGTACTCCAAAGGGCTCCATACAAAACCAAAAAAGCACCTCAGACATCGGGTCTGGCCAGAGCCACCGCGTCTCCGGGCTGTCCGTTGGATCGATCCGATCGCAACGTCTGCAGTTGTTGGGAGCGCCGGTGCATTGGCTGTTGGCCTGCGTGGCGGCTGCCTGGCTTGGCAGTCCGGAGCGCCCAGGGAGCTGCGTGGATGGGTCAAGTAGGGCCGTGGGTAAGGGGGGGATGAATGCCCCGTGGTTTGGGGGATTGGACTGTTTGGGGTTTACAATTTGCTATATAATTAGTGTCTATAGCAGTCGATCTATATCGCATATATAGATTCTATTGCCCAACATTCACAGGCCTCTCTCCCAAGTACATCCCTGCCAGTGTGTGTGAGAGAGGGAGATGGCAGAGACCGAACCTCAGCAGCTTCCACTTGTGTGAATCTGCAACTGCTGTAGAGTCTGGAGAGACTCATGTGTTCCGCATCCTGATATTCATGCCTCAAACCTCAAACCTATGTAAGTGACACCTCAGTCTTCATTGAAGTTGCCGATCACTCGAACAGGGAAGCTGATTGCCCAGGAGCATCGTGTATCGCGGACCATCTGAATTTGGAATAAGTCACTATAAGTCAATCTCGACAGCCATCCAAGTCTCAGCAAACTCCTTGTTGCACTTCCAGCAAAAGCAATTCTCCCCAGAACAGTAGGACCACTTGACTTTGTCTCAGTAAGAGCATTACGTGGTCCATTTGTTGCCTTGCATGGCGGATGGACGGACCCCAACCACCTGCCTCGCCTTCGACGCAGCGCCTTCGAGGTGGTTCCACCTGCCGAGACGTCCACCCTGCCCACCTGCCTCGCACCGACCGCGTTCGTCCCCAGACACTCTCCCAGGCCTGGCCGTCACGCGCTTCGAGAGTCATTCCACCTGGAAGATCGGTTGCCGCTCGACAGATGCGCAGATCCGGCCAGATCCGGATCCGAGGCGAAGGAAAGGGGTGGCGGAGCCAGGTCGGTGTCATGGCCTGGGACTCCAGGAGGGGCACTATGGAGGGGCACTATAGTGTGTACTGTTTTGCTTTGCACTTGTTTGGACACTTCATCGAACCAGAAGCCCTCTTTGGCGCGTGTAGAAAAAGTCATGGGGACCTTCAGTGACACTGCGTGACCTCTTTGACCTTTTTGGGCCTCTGTGTGGCCTTCGTTTGGTCCGTTTTGGAAGGTCTTCTTCGGATCATCTACATCCAGACGGTCATCCGATCTCAGGAGGGCGTAGTTGGATCTCAGGTTTGGTCCAGTTTGGTCAGTTGGGATGTTGAGAGATATTGCTCATCAGAAGCCACCTGAGATTTGCTCCCAGCAAGCCACGGTTCTTCTGTTCTTCCGTTCTTCCGTTCTGTCTTTCCTGCACCTCTAGTGGTAGGGGTTCGATGTGTTGGACCGTCTTCAAGAAATGAACCGACGTTAGGACCAGGAACCAGCTAGAATTGAACAGTTGTACCACATATACTAGCAAGTCACGATCATATGTTTTTGTTTTGGATGATCCACCTGCCAACGATGCCATGTGCGCTCAGCTCCTTACGTTCGAACATCCAATGACCGAGTTTGCATGAGTCAGGACGAAACTGCATGGTGCATGTGCAAGAGGACTCCAGATGCATCGGCGGTATCGTCGATGTGACGAAAGGACCTGTCCATCAGCGCGAGCGATCTGATCCCAGGCTTGGCCGCTTGTGTCTTCACCCTGGTCGTTTGAAGGTGCTTTTGGACGGCGCAGTTGGGCGGACTGGCACGATGGAGGGAGATGGAGGGATAGACAGATCGGTCTAGGAGTCTAGGGAGTGGAGATGGTTGTTGGCAGTTTGGTTTATAGGGCCTGGTTTGGGAGTTTTGGGGATAGGAACTGTGTTGGAAGTGAAGTGGCAGCAAATGAGGGGAACTTTGCCATAGACCTGGTTGCAGAGAAGTTGATGAGTTTACTCTTTGATTGTGCCTAGTCCTCTGATCTTGAGAGACACTGATGCCATCTCATGCCGATAAATTCGCCGACGGGTGGTGCATGGTGAACCATGCCGAACAGCTTCATGTCTTTGCCCTTGGACCCCCTAAATGGAGCCTAAGGAGAGCAATCTCGACACATGTCATGCTGCGATTCTTGCGACTCCTATAGCATAAAACCGACTCATGACATCTCATTAATATCTCATGACTTCTTCACCAGCCTCCTTCCAGGACCCTCCAACAGGTCTCCAAAATGGTGGCTGTTGCAGACTTAGGGGTGCTCAAGGGTTTTAGCTGCTAAGATCTGCTTCCGGGGGGCCCATTGGAGGGACGTCGGTATGTGCTGGTGTGTATATATCACTTGGAGATCAAAGCCGCGCATCCCTAGAGCCGACTCGAGACTCCATCTCCGCTTCGGTGTGACGATCTCGCAGGGGTGGGATCCAGGGTGGCTGGATCCAATAGAAGCTCTATTGGGGGCGAAGCTTCCCTTATTCCCAAGCACCGGTCAGGCTTTGTTTTGCAGAAAATCCCCTGATACAAGTGTTTGGATGTGCTGAGGACAGACTGATGCTAGAATTACAGTACCTGTTGTTGGGATCTCATTAGATCTGCCAGGCTCCAGGACACCCGATGGCACAGACTCTCCGATGCCCAGCTGAAGACGTGTCTCCGTTCGGCCCTCCCATTCGCACAGGGCCGAAGCGGAGGAGGTGCGAAAATCAGCGGCCGGGCGGGGAAAAGCAACGGCTGGAGACAGACATGGCCTGGAATCAGGACTTTGAGACTGATTGAGCTCTTGAAAGTGGAAAGTGAAGAAAGTGAACATCCAAAGGGGCCAACGGCGTTAGGAAAGATGACTATGAGGGGAGCCTAAGGTTCTTCTGATGTGTCATGGCATGTAGGCCCTGTAGGCAAGGGGATGGTATTTTCAGTGGGGAAGATGGCGCCAGAGAGTGAAGTCTTACTTCGATCCAAGAGGTTTCCTCCTGGGCGCCCACTTCGTTCGAGCCATTTCCACCTTTCAAGGGCCGTTCTGGGCCTTCGCATGCCCCCCCCCTCCGCGGGAGGACCCGCTTTCGCGGTCCGTGGTTTTGACCGGCGCGCGCGCCAAGTCGTGTGGAGGATCGGGTCGAATAGACCGAAGTTGTACAATCCATCTCTGCTGATGCAGTGGACTTTGGATCGGATTCGCGGCGTGAGTCGCGAAATGAACAAATGTTGACAACGCTGTGTAACCAAATGAACAGAGCTTGGCCAATATTTTGTTCTCGCTGGTTTGGTCGATAAGGACTTGGCACCAACAAGCCGCCCACCACGGAATGGTGGCGCCTTCCACTGTTCGGCCATTCTGACCTGGGAAACATGGACCGCGAATCCGAGCACGTGGAAACCACTCACTCACTGCATCGGGGACCGTCGGTGCGGACCCGTGCGCTGCACAGTTCCGGGCCCCGTGCCGTGGTGAGTTGGTATAGAGTAGATGTGTTGAAGCTTCTACTCTGAGAGGGAGCCTCAAGGAAGACACAGACACGAATGATGCTGAGATAAGTATAGGAGGGTCAAAGGACTTAGCATATGAAAGAAGCTTGAAATACTGTATATGTAGTATGGT